GGGGGGCGGGGGACAGGGGTGGGTGTTTCTCTGGGTTGCTGGTAGGGGTTATGTGCATTTTACATCTTGAGGAGGAAGACAATAAAGGGGAGCTTGTGCATCTCAGTCTGCTGCTCCTTTGCCTTGGAAAATCACCCTGCAAGAAGTCAAACACCTAATGACTGATTTGGTCCTTGGGTTTGGGGGATGGGAAGAGGGGTTAGCAAGTCTGAAAATTTTGTCTCCTTTAAAATAAGCAAACAAATAAACCCTCTAGTCCTGGTCTCTTTGAAGCCTGGAATTGCTCCTGGGGTTCTCGATAGACAGCGCGCTAGTTTTCAATCCAGGGGATTGTTTGTAACAAACACATTTAGAAGAATTATACTAGAAGTTGGCAGCTAATGGCCACCATAATTTTTTCCTTCAGCTGAAACAGTGGCCTACAGTGTGCGGACATATAACCCAAGATAGGTGGAGGAAACAGGCTGTGGTAGCTACCTTGGCAGATCCGGCTAGGAGTTCCCTAGCATCTGGCCAGCAGTGCTCAGAATGCTGTGACTCACCACCTGGACTGATTTGTATCTTGTAGCCCAAGTTGCTTTGCCCCTTTCTTTTCTTTTCCCCTCCCCCCATGACCCCTGCATATTTCACTTGTTTGCTCTCCGTCCTACAGCCTCACCTGGCGGTTGGAAGCAATGACTACTACATCTCCGTGTACTCGGTGGAAAAGCGGATCAGATAACAGCAGTCTCATCGGAGAAAGGGAGAGTCCCAGCGGGCAGGGCCATGTCTCCCCTGTCATGTATATAGAGAAATGATCGACTTGAATGTTTAGTGTTGGCTGCTGCTGCTGCAACCCATAACTTGAACATTTTTTTTTCTTCTGACTCAGCTACTGATGATTTGGAGAGGTGGAAAGAGAGACATTCTTCTATTTTCTTTTCAGCCAGAACCTCTAAAAACTACAGAAAAGGAACATTTATTTTTTGTTTTCAATGGTTGCTTCTGTTACAAACATGGTTCCAAGGCTCCGAAGGACTGGATGAGACGATACCTTTGTGAGGGGCTTTTTATTTCCGTCTTTGTTCCTTTGTTTCGTGGGGGTCTAGGTAACTTAAGGAATTAAGTCAGGACTCGCCTACAGCTCCATGTTTTCTCACCCTACCAAGTGACCCCTCTACCTGTTACCTACCCTGTGCCAAAGAGCAACCCCTCGGGCAGGCAACAGGATCCCAGCTGCCCGCCTGCAGAATATCACACCCGGTCTTGAGCAATCTGTGTGTAACCGAGAGAAGGGAGACGGGAAATCATCTGCGGGGCTCGCTGGCCTCCCTCTCTCGTGTTCCTTCTCCAGTGGAAGTACGGACAGAGCGAGCGGACGAGCGGGCATGGCAGCAGGAGGAAGAGGGAAGGGGGGCGGAGGGGAGGAGAGCAATAGTAGTGTGGAACACTGACAGGCCATAAAGCTCTGCATCCAGATGGAGGAGAAACAAGAAAATGAGCAACATCCTCAGTGCCCTAAGGAAATTGGATTGTCATTGATGTAACTACTCTCTGTTCATGGGCACGTACCTATGTCAGTGCAGGTGAGTGGAGTGAGAGACTTTGTCTTATTCACTCCGTTGTTTCAGGAGTCGCTGTCCCTTTGCCCACAGCACGTGAGATGTCCTGACAACTGCACAGACAGAGAGAGGGCTCGTTCTACCCCTGCCTTAAACCATAGGCTTTCATTTTGTTCAGAAGTGCTAATATTCTGCTAGCTAATGGACGTGACTTTATACACCCAGCTGTATACATGTGCATTTGCATGCACCTTGGTCTATATGCATCTGGGCATATTTGTATGTGTCTGTATGAACCCAGGCAGATACGCATTGCATTGGCATGTCCTTGTGTCCACACATCTGGGCATCCACGTGTATGTTCTGATTACAAGAGAATCACTGCCGTCCTGGAGGCAGAGGGGCCAACAACAGATCATTCTGCCTGGCGCAAGACCATCTTGTCCCCAATCTCTAGGGAAAGCTGATCCCCTCTCTCACGTCGGTAATGAAGATTCCTGTCCCTTGGAATCCATAATGCGTCTTGAGATTGATTTGGGGAAGGAGGTGGCAAAGCTGAAGGGAGCATTTCCCCAATAAAGTACTGTCTAGATGTGAATCAGTTGGGCGGGAAGAACAAAACCCTGTAAAGTAACAGTGATGATGCTAAGCTCTCCAAATCTAGGAAAACTCTCTCCATCCTGGTTCTGGCATCACCGTTCCTCACAGGCCAGCAGAGGTGCCTAAGTCAATGACAGTAGTGTTAATGAGAAAAGAAATGAACAACATTGTTGCTGCTTTTTGTTGTGGGCAGTAGTTTCACCTCCCCCACTGAACTCAGCTGGGGATGGCTGACCTTGCCAGATCATTTTGCTTCCAGAGATGCTCATTCAGCATTCACGCAGCCTGAATGCAGCCAGGCAATGCCATGGCATCCGAATCAGCCAGGATCCTATCGTGCTCTGCCATTAAGAGTCAAATAGTAAAACGCCGCTGTCTGCAAATCTCAAAGTAGTCCTGTTGCAAGGTGGCTTGAGCTGTGGGGACTGAGGCAGGTACCCCAGCTGGGGCACTTTCCCCACGCGCAAGCACAACTGCAGTCTTCTCTACCCTCCGGTGATCTACGGGCCGCCTCGCAGGATGCTGAGTCGAAAGCGGTGGAAGGAAATCTGGAGGAGCTGCTGTTTTCCCTAACACTCTGTGTTTTTCTAATATGTGGACTACCAAAAGTTAGTGATGGGCTAAAAAAAAAAAATTGCCTCTCTTGGTGGCCCATTGAGCTGCTGTTATACACAGATTTACTTGCCCCAGTGTCTGTTGCAGTGGTACCAGTCTCGCCCCTCTGATTACCATGCCTGTCCCTCTGCGCATGGCTCTGAGCTCAGGGAATGGCCAAGGCCAGGTGTGCTAGGCCAGCATTGAGGCAGAGGTTGGGATTTGCAGATAACTGACTAACGTGCACTATTTACAAACACCAGAGATTTTTAACCTCAATCAGTGGATTTGTGTAAAGAACAAGCGATACCTGGCAAACTGCAAAGGTGCATTGTGGGAAGCTGCTTTGTCTTCATACCAGCATTCCCCGAGCGCCCTCCCAGCCTGTGCAGCCAGGAGTAGGGTTTTTAACTGACTCAGCCTGTTGAGCTTTCATCTAAGCGTGTGCGTGTCTGGGCTCTGTCTGCACAGGGCTGATGCAAAAATTCAATCATGAAGTTTAACCAAGGCTCTGGAGAGCATCCTACCTAAAAGTTCACTTCTCTCTATTTATTTTACAAAAATAAAAAGATATTAAAAAAAATAAACTCCGAGATTGTATTGTGAGAGTAAAATAAATACAAACAATAAATGGTTAATAAAATATAAATGCAGAAACAGCCTGTGGTCAGGTCGTTTTATTGTAACGAATGGGAGGAGTTAGTGTTGCCTAGTCTTGAGAGCAGGAAAAAGGGCTGTGTAGGGTGGGGGGGGGAATCATAAAAATGTAGGACTGGAAGGGACCTCAATATGTCATCTAGTCCAGTCCCTGCACTGAGGCAGGATTAAGTATTATCTAGATCATCCCTGACAGGTGTTTGTCTAACCTGTTGTTCAAAATCTCCAATGATGGTGAACCCATAACCTCCCTGGGTAATTTGTTCCAGTGCTTAACCACCCTGACAGTTAAAGTTTTTCCTAATGTCTAACCTAAATCTCCCTTGCTGCAAGTTAAGCCCATTACTTCTTGACCTGTCCTCAATGGTTAAGGAGAACAATATATCACTCTCCTCTTTATAACAACTTTTTACGTACACCTCTACCCCAATATAACGCTGTCCTCGGGAGCCAAAAAATCTTACCGCGTTATAGGTGAAACTGCATTATATCAAACTTGCTTTGATCCACCGGAGTGCGCAGCTCTGTCCCCCCAGAGCGCTGCTTTACCGCATTATATCCGAATTCGTGTTATATCAGGTCGTGTTATATCAGGGTAGAGGTGTACTTGAAGACTATTATCATGTCCCACCTCAGCCTTCTCTTCTCCAGAGTAAAAAAACAAAAAAACATTTTTTTAATCTTTCGTCATAGGTCATATTTTCCTAGCTCTTTTATCATTTTAGTTGCTCTCCTCTGGACTTTCTCCAGTTTGTCCACATCTTTCCTGAAGTGTAGTGCCCAGAACTGGACACAGTACTCCAGCTGGGGCCTTATCAGTACTGACGAAAGTGGGAGAATTACTTCTCATGTCTTCCTTATGACACTCCTGCTAATACATCCCAGAATGACGTTCACTTTTTTTTGGCAACATTTAGTTTTATTTCGTTTGTGATCCACTATAGCCCCCAAATCCTTTTCTACAGTACTCCCTAGGCAGTCATTTGCCATTTTGTATTTGTGCAATAGATTATTCCTTCCTAAGTGTAGTACATTGCATTTCTGCATATTGAGTTTCATCCTATGTGATTCAGACCATTTCTCCATTTTCTCAAGATCATTTTGGATTCTAATCCTATCCTCCAAAGTGCTTGCAACCCCTCCCAGCTTGATATCATCTGCAAACTTTATAAGGGTACTCTCTATGCCATTATCCAAATCATTTATGAAGATATTGAATAGAACCAGACCCAGGACAGATCCGTGCGGGACCTCTTTCAATCTGCCCTTCCGGCTTGATTTTGAACCGTTGATAACTACTCTTCAAGTATGGTTTTCCAGCCAGTTGTGCACCCACCTTTATAGTAAGTTCATCTAAGCTATATTTCTGTAGTTTGTTCATGAGACGGTCTTGTGAGACAGTATAAAAGCCTTACTAAACTCGAGATAGATGACATCTGCTTCTCCCACCCACCCATAAGGCTTGTTTACCCAGTCAAAGAAGGGTGTTAGGTTGGTTTGACATGATTTGTTCTTAACAAATCTATGTGGACTGTTACTTGTCACCTTATTTTCTTCTAGCTGCTTACAGATAGATGGATTATTTACTCCATTATCTTTCACGGTACCAAAGTTAAACCGACTTGTTGATAATTCCCTGGGTTGTCTTTATTCCCGTTTTTATAGATGAGTACTATATTTGCCCTTTTCAAGTCCTCTGAGATCTCTCCCATCCTCTGAGTTCTCAAAGATAATTGCTAATGGCTCAGAGTTCTCTTAAGCCAGTTCCTTAAGTATTCTAGGATGTATTTAATCAGCCCCTAACTTGTCATCTACCATTTAACTTGTCTAAATAATTCTCTGCTTGTTCGTTTCCTGTTTTAGCCTCTCACTCAGATCCTACCCCGTTTACACTGATGTTCACTGTTAGTTGTCTGATCACTGCTACCTTTTTTGGTGAAAGCTGAAACAAAAAAGGCATTTAACACTTCAGCCATTGCTGTGCCTTCTGTTGTCTTTCCCTCCTCATTGAGTAGTGGGCCTATCCTGTCCCGTGTCTTCCTCTTACTTCTCATCTATTGGTGGAATGTTTTCTTGTTACTCTTTATATCTCTACCTAGTTTAACCTCATTTTGTGCCCTGGCCTTTCTAATTTTGGCCCTACATGCAGGTCAATGAAGAATTCCTGGGTAAGCCAGGGTGACCTCTGACCACACTTCCTATCTTTCTGGCTTCTAGTTCTGATTCTGCCAATGACTTGCTATGTGACCATGGACAAGTCATTCTGTGCCTCAGTTTTCCCATCTGCTAAATGGGCACGATTCTGCTTTTTGAGATCACAGATGAAAGGCCCTTGTCATTTGCACTTGTACTATTTCTAATCGTTTCCCCATGAGCATGTAAGAAGGAGCCAACAACCCCGTGCTTCAGTGCACTTGGGGTTCTCTGTGGGGAAGAGTGTGGCACTGTCGTTGAGTTGTTTTTGATCGGGATACGTTAGGCTTTAGCATTCGTCAGTCAATAGTGGCAGGCTCATCGCAATATGGGGCAAGGCCTAAGAGCTCCAGCAGGAGGGAGGGAATGGGAGCATCGGTGGGGTGCCGTTGGGGATGTGAAGGGATCTTTGACAGAGGGAAAGGAAGAAGGGAGGCCCTGCGGCTTTCACAGCTTTTCCCTGTGGAACTGTGGCACCCTAAAGGGGTCACTCCCAAGGAACTGGGTACAGGCTGGGGCATAGACCAGACCCTGTGAATCCATGACAGAGCTCTTCCTGGAAGGATTCACCTAACAATAGTGATGGGAGACTCCACCTCCACTACTAGGTCCCTCCCATGTGGAGTCCCACAAGGAACAATTTTCTCTCTGGTCCTGTTCAACATCGATATGCAACCACTAGCGAACGGGTCAAACTATATGGACTCAGGTGCCAGCAATATGCAGATGACACAGCTCTACCGATCCTTCAGCACATGCCCCATACCACTGCCACCCCGATGGCCCAGTGCCTGGAGGGGATCAGCTCATGGGTGAAGAGCAGCTGGCTGGAGCTGAAGCTGAGCAAGGCTGAGGTGATGCTGGTGGGAAGAGGAAAGCATTGTGAGGAGCCGTGGTGCAGTCTCCTTTGGTTGAAGGTTCACACACACACACAGCTGATCAATTCAGTCCATAGGGGAGGAGGCTCGTGCATGCCCCACTGACTCTGAGCTCTCACGTTATAGCAGCCTCCATGAGTAAGGCTGCGTGTCTGTCATGGAAGTCACGGGTTCTGTGGCTCTCCGTGACCTCCATGACTTCTGCAGCAGCCAGTGCGGTTGGCTCCGGGGCTGCCTGAGCACTTGGGCAGCCCCTGAGCCAGCAGCAGTTTGGGTGTGGGAGGGGTCTCAGGGCTGGGGCAGAGGGTTGGGTACAGGGCGG